GTACGTAGGTGTAGTAGTTAGTTTTTTTCGGTTTTTTAGTTTAGTTTCTATGTGTATGTTTGTTTGTTAGTATATATATATATATATATATATATATATGCACGTGCAGAAACATTTTGTATTGAAACCCTTCTTTCGAAACAAAAAGCAGGCTGAACTTTATGTAGTGAATTCTTTCCCTTTATCGTATTAAAGTAAAATCGGGTTAGATGTCACCCTACTGACATCTTTTGGAAAACACGTAAATAGTAGCCTTGTAAATTTACCTTTACTATTCAGGAAGTTTATAGAGTGACAATATACAATGAACCACAAATCAGTTATTTTGAAAATACTATAACAAGGGCGACTTTATTTATTTTTGAGGTTAACGATATAAACAAAGAGGTTCATGCATTTTTTTTCCTTACATATTTTTTGTTGTCCTCGAAAGTGTGTTCTAATGCCCGCATAGCACACGAAATATTTTTAAACGTATTTTCAGTTGCAAGCAAAACGTTTTAGTTAAAAGCCACAATGTTGTTTAATTGTTTTCTAAGAACTATGTTATAAGATACATAATTTTGTGAATCGAATGGTGGACGACTTTGTCCCACGAGAAAGAGACTAACTACACTCTTGTGCAATCAATAGCAAATGGAAGTTACGTTTAACTGTGTAACAGGCTCGTTCAGAAAGGAAATATGTATATAGAGCTAATAAGAAGATCCGTTGTGTGTATGTCGACAAGAACCTCAGCTAACTAGTGTGCAGTGAGGAATGTTTCCGCGCCTTGTTCAGGGTGACCTTCATGACTAAAACTGTGGGTGTATGGATACTCTGATATTAATATTGTAGAAGAAAAAACAAAATAAAACAAAAAAGGAACAACTAGCGCAACTGTTCTTTTAGCACGCTTCTATTTTTTTTTTTCTTTTGATGATTGTTAACCCAAAACACAGCATGACACTGTCGAACGTGTCACTGTAATTCAATGTGCATTTTCAGTGAGATAACTTAATAACAAACATTTTCTGTTTGAAAGGGTACGCGTACCAAACACTGCAGCGGAAATTATGCACAACGAAGTGTTCCCCTAATTATTGTTATTTGACCAATGTAGACACACGGTGCACCGTATTGGAATATCGATATACATGTTTTAGCGCATAAGGTATCAAAAAGTCATTTACAAAATGCTTATGTTGACAAAATGATTTTATAAAGCAATTTGTACAATTCGACAGAGGCACACAGCGTTATGTCTGCGTACTTACATAGCTAGAAATCGGGTTTCGATACTCTTGGTGGAAAGAGTATAGATAGCCCATTGTGTAGCTTTGTGCTTAATTACAAACCACCAACCAGCAATTCCACATCCCATAAACTACCTTGAACTTTAACGAATTAGTACCCTGAGATGTCGCTAGGAGCTTAAAAGATTTGGGGCTCTGGCCCATAGACGTTGGAATTTTCGGCGTTTCAGTAAGATATCGATCATGGTTTTCTTTTCTGATTTTTCAAGACACCAACTGAGGATTTGGGGCACTGTCAAAAAGAATCGGGACGCGGGTCCAGTGCCTAGCGACGCTTCTGACCCTCTTGCTTACCATAGGGACGTACTTGGTAGGCCCGCTACGCTATTTGTATTTCCATGGGCCATATGGATGTACTTTGATAAGGGTTTCTACGCTGAATCCAATAAAATAAACTAATAACTCAATTAAATATAAATTTATAGATATTTTATCAAATTTCCCAATTTTTTTCCCTCATCTTGAGGGCTTATTTGGGCTAAAGAGTATGTTGAGTAGTTTGTTTTTATCAATTATTATTATTACAAAATACACATTCTTTAATTTTACAAAATCAATACGACATTTGTGAGTCGAGAAAATCAAACATAAAATATGTATTCTGCTATAGAGAAGAATATAAAAAGTTCTTGTTTGAAAAGCTACTTTTTTAATCAATAGAAATAATATATGAAGAATATGAATAAAAACAAACTCTCACTGTTCGTGGAAGAGTTATGTAAACAACTCTCACAGTGTGAAACAAAAAGTTGTGAATATAAAAATCATACTTTGAAGATGAATTTATAACCAAAATGTTACAGTTTGGAGAATGTATCGTTTGTCTTTAAACGCAAAACAACATAATGAGTTATCTGTGCTATGCCGACTACTAGTATGGAAACCCGATTTTTAGCGTTATAAGCCTTTAGACTTACAGTTGAGCCACGGGATGAGGGGGGGGGGGCGATATATATTGTACAATTATTACTTAATTAAAGGAGATATAATGGAAGAAAAATGCACTGTATGAAAAAAGTCATTGTAAAAGCAATTTCTATCTGTTAAAAAAAACGTTAAGATAAATATCACACCTGAAAAGGAACATTGTAAACGTAAGCGTGTTTATTTAGGAGATATACGATCCCCAGGTGAATCAGCGGTAAATTCACGGATATGCGATGCTAATATCCGGGACTCAATTCATCGATGGGGACAATGTTCATATATCCATCTTGTAGCTTTGTGCGAAAAACAAATAAGTATTCCTAGGAAAAATTATATGTATCTTCTGAAAATCCTTGCATCAAAACGTTCCCTGTTGCCTCAACGGTACCTCTGAGGGCTTATAACTCTACAAGTCGGGTTTCGATACCTTCAAAGAATACAACAAGCTCAAATGCTCTGTCCTCCAATGAATCATCGGTAAGTTTACGGATTTACAATGCTAAAATCTGAAGTTCGTTTTCCATTGTGGACAGAGCGCAGATAGTCTAACTTGTAGCTTTGCGTTTAAACAAATACGAAATATTTCGAATGTTTTTAGTTATACAGAGTCTCAGTTGTCGTTTATGTCTATGCTTAAACTGATTGAATGTAATTTAAGACATAATTGCATAAGGTTTAATTGTGACATATCAACTTAGAATTACAAAGAAAAACAACTAATTATTTTCAATCGTTTGGGCAATTTTATGATATGCTTTTCTCGTAATACACGTACACATCATAGAACATAATAATGAAGAATAACTTTCTGCTACATAAGAAATATCACAAGATTGGGACAATCTTAACAAATTTTCGAGAGTCTGATCCATCGATCTCGTAAAGCAAGTAGTGGCCTTGACGAAAGAGTTTCGAAAGAATGCTTTAAATATTCAATGTCAGAGACAACAATTTTGTGAAAAAGTAGCTAAAAATAGTAAAAAGTTTTTTCCATTTGCCATGTTGACCCAGAAGTAGGAGATAAGTCAAAATATTATCAGTTTTTGCGAAGAGAATGCCTTTCCGTTTTAACCTCATTACACCTCAAAACAAGTCCCTGGTTGCCACAAGGCAGCGAAAGCCACTGTTTTTTAGATATTTGGCTCCATATGTATAACATGGACAAAGGAACAATTAAAGTTCTCATCAGAAGCGAAACCAATATCACGTCAATGGCAGACCACTTCTCGGGGAACAGTGACAACAGGTGAGTCACTTTTTCATATAACTGAATGAATGTTCTTTTTTTTTGTACACCATTATTTCGATATAATTGTGATTACTAAATTATTCCTGATAATAATTAGTCCCACTAAGGCTTTTCTTAACAGCAGAAAAAATCATTATTACGCAGTATAATGTTTCTTTAACATATTCATAGACAAGTTTGAAACGTGAAAAATCATGTTTTCCTACGTAAGAAAAGAAAAATGCTTTTTTTAGACCAATTTGTATAATATATATGTATATATTATTTGAAGCAAATTCTTGTTTTTATTTAAAAGGATATATAAAAGCACTATTCGCGTTAAAAAGTATTAATTCTCTGTTATTAACATCAAATTACCTAATGCTCCAATTTACTACAATTTAACATGCGTTTACTTACTATCAATGTAAGTAAAAAAACGAAGGTTTTTCGGATTTTTTGGTACAGTTTTCGCGTTGCAATTTACGCTAGACACACTTTGATTCCAGATTCCACTTTGCAAAACACTAATCATGAATTTGGACAAAAACTACACTTGTGATATAATCAGTTTATTTTTTGAAGAAATGGCTGAATCAACGTCACAATTTCCATATCCCAAAATGTATATGTGTATATGGCAGATTTGAAACAGTCATGTGACTCGATTGTGAATTTCGTAAATTCTGTAATAAAAATTACCTTTTGCACCATTCCATGAGATTTTGGATCAGAAAGATTAGGATAAAATATGAAAGTTTTAAGGTTAATACTTCAATATACGTTTATCTATCACCTGTTGAATGTAAGAATATACTTGAAGAAGCTTATTGCAAACATAAATATCAAAATTTATTTAAAGAAAATGCCTTATATTGGTTAAATTTGATTATTTAATTAATTTCAGTGCTTGTGGTCCAAGTGGAAAAATACTACCATTCATTTCACTTCGACCACTGTTGGATATGTTGATGAAATCTTAACATGACATCTTAAGCTTATTGCCATAACTAAAAGGTTTGAAGATTTTGACATTCACTTCTTCACCATTGAAAATAAAAATGTAAAAGATTAGGAACACCTAATTATTTTCGACCTACAGCATCATTTTAGTTTTGACGTGTCTTCTACAACAATATACTACAGGTTGCATTATGTACAGTGTTTTTTTTTCTTTATAAATCTTTTCGTAAAGGTGGCAGAATTATAAGAAGACTATAGGCAGAATAAAGAAACCATTTCAGATAATTATTGAAATAGAAGAAGGTTCGAATTTCCCTAGTCACGTGGCTGTGGATAACCTGCAGCTTAAACATTGTGTACGAGGTACGAAAGTTTTTTGTATTTTATCAAAGATTTCTATATTTTTTCAAATGAATAAAATTACCAAAGGACAGAAATGGTATTCAAGTACACATACGGACGACTTGAAATAAGAAACTTACCGCAATACGACGCACGCGTATTTTGGAGAAAATCAAGTTTCCATTAAACTTATGGTATCATGGAAAGGACCATATGCTTGGAAGACATTTAAACATAAGTATTGTGTGCATATTAATCAAAACAAGTGTTTAATGTGCACATTTTGTATGCTAAAGTGAATTTTTATTATTATAATGATTATAAGTACAAACACATTATAGTAAATTACAGATATAAAACCGCGGTTTTCAACCGATTTTATGGTTCAGTCTGCTGCTCAAGTAATAAACAACAACAAATGATAAACTGTCGTAATTTATTTAAAACAGTTAAGTTAATACTGTAAATTACTGATTTTATCTTCGAAATTATAAGGCAAATTATTATTCGTCTATGTTTTCATCAACCTTGCAATAGATATTATTTATTTATCCAACATAAAAACTAGTCATACAGTTTAAATTTACATTTAGGGTATGGCTTTATGTACTTGTGTATTTAACTTCTAATAACAAAAGATCGTAATTTCACATGATTTCATGGACATTCTGGTGGATTACATTTAATTATATATCTTACTTCATTCCATTGGACTTTAACGAAGAATTGGATGTTATTGTGTTATGAAAACTACATCCATTATGTCAGATTGCCTTGAAGTACATATCATTGATAATTTTGAGTGTGAAACAAAATTTTATTCTTTTGATCTATTCTTTGTCACTAGAAACGTACATTCCTTGTGAACCAAATCACTTCCAGTGTGAAAGTGCGTCCTGTATTGACAGAAACAAGGTGTGTGACATATACCGCGACTGTCCAGAAGGGGAAGATGAAGAACAGTCGTGTGGTGAGAATTCAAACATGAAAATATATTTTGAAATATTAAATACAAGCTTAAACATCTCTGAAGATCAAAATAAAGACTCTGAAATAAAGATTCTTTCTAAACATATATTAGTGTTGGTAAAGACCTCTGTTTAAAGGTCAAGTTATCAATATAAACTTTCCTTAAAGTACAGAATATAGAATTGATTGTGTCTTAGAAATTCTCAAAAATAATAAATAACTTAACTCTGTCAAAGACTATTAGAATAGAGGTAAAAGGTATCTTTTACATTCAGTATACAGGTGTAAATGATTCTCTGAAATCCAAGTTTATACACGTGTGTGTGTCTTTAAATATGTAACTTCTATAAACTACACTAATTAATATATATAAATATATATATATATTGATCTTACTCCATCTCTCCACATACTCAACTTATCACCACATACCCAATATATCACTACATACCCAATATATCTCCACATACCAAATTTATCACCACATACTCAACTTATCACCACATACCCAATTATCACCACATACCCAATATATCTCCACATACCAAATTTATCACCACATACTCAATATATCTCCACATACCCAATTTATTACCACATACCCAATTTATCACCACATACTCAACTTATCACCACATACCCAATTTATCCCCACATACCCAATTTATCTCGACATACCCAATTTATCACCACATACCCAATATATCTCTACATACCCAGTATATCTCGACATACCTAATATATCACCCCATACCCATTATATATCCACATACACAATTTATCAATTTACTTCTTTCCCTATCCACACTGTTTTATGTCAGCCCAATGTTCTTAACATACATAATTATTCAAGTAGTGACTTCAACCTCTTGTTCACTAACTATTTTTTTGTTGAAAAATAATGTATATTTCACGTTTACAAGTTCCAGAAGGTATAATAGGTATTATTAATTTTTTTTGATTTATTACCAAATGTTCTAGTCTATAATTACAGATATTTCACCAAAGAATTAAGAAATTGTCTATGCTTATATGTTGATTTTAATATAGTCTTAAGGTCACTTTGTAAAATATTTTGAGGACATTTATTACCTTTCTTCGTTTAGATAAACAGAAACTCGTTACTTGAGTTGCTTTAATGGATATTATCTAGGCTTACCTTATGTCATAGAGAGACGTTACATTTTCTCACATTTATATATATATATATATATGTATACTGGTTACAAATTGAGTGTTGCAGGTTTAGCAGAATCACAAAGTTTTATAACTTGTGATTTCTTCACTACTAAAAGTCATATGTTGAATAAACAGTTTTGTTTAACAAACAAAAAATTTAGAACTCGGGTTCTGATTTGGACTCAACATTACTTTCTAGATAAAATGGACAATAAAACGGTCAAAACAAACAAAGAGACTTTTGAATTAGTAGATTCAACTCAACAAAAAATAGTTTCTAATGGGTAGCTGAAAATTAATTTAGTGTTACCTTATCACAAGGCATTTAATCTATAAGCAAAACATTTTCAACCGTAAATATAAACGATACTTAGAAATCGGCAGCTACAAAGAAATTTCCCACAATGCCTAAAAAGGTTAGATAATTTCATTAATATAAGCCAGTAAGCCTAAAATAATAAAAAAATCACACTAGACTGCAAATATTTTTGTGTTTTTGCACACTTTTAAAGGACTAATTAAGAGAAATGTATGTTTAAAAAACATCTGTAGATTAGTATGATTTTTATCACTACCTTAGGCCTCTTGATTTCATTGTTTCGCCGAATTTTGTTGTTTAAAACCATAACGCTAGAATAAGAATGGGGAGGGGGAACCCAGATACACAGTCATTGTTGGTTGCAATTGTTTGACTAATAAATTTTCTTTAACCTCCCTCTTATTTATATGTATCTTTTTCCATTTCCCTCTAGAATATTTTGGGTAAGTTCTCACGATGTTAACTAATTAATTTTTGTTTATGTTAATTGTAAAT